CCTTCGCCGCACGGTAATCAGAATGAAAACCGCCTGCTTTTTAAATACGGGAAGCTTTCGTTATTCAGTGAGGGCACCCGTAACAACTCGCGCTGTGTTGTGGAGAAAAGGCCGCGCGGGCCTTCGGGGTGTCGTAGTAAAAATAAAATGTTAATTAACGAACGGAATGATTCGTCGCCCGGGGCTCATCATGGCGGAGCACGAGCGTGCACGACAACACAGGTGCATTTGTTCCGTTGGCTTCCCTGCCAAGGTCGCCGACTCTACAACAAAAGGCGGCGCGCGCGTAGGCAGAGGCTTTGACTTTGGTGCAAACGTGTACACGCAGGGAAGATGTCTTTGTCCCGACAATAGTCACAATTATCGTAACTGGGATGAGGGGATAGTAATGACTCATTGATGAGAATTGCTTAGCCTTGTCCACTAAATGATGACACGATGGTGAAGAATTGATTTTTGCAGAAACACCATTTTTCAGAGCTTATATTGATAACGCTTTATATAAACTCGCTCCCGTTTTATTGTCATTTCTTTTCTCATACTCCCACGTTTCACGAACATTGAGATTTAATGAACGCTAAACCCATCCGACCACAGGGAACAAACCGCAGACGCTCAAACAGTCAAGAAAAAGCCGGAGGTTTTTCTTGAATTGGCGAACTGAACACAAGAGTAACCGCTACATTTAAGCTACAACGACAGGTTTTCATTGTGGATCAGTGGGGAGAACGACAACGAACAGCAACAGACAAAGACACACTGAGGATGCTTCAGACATCGGGCAGCTCTCTTTCCAGGGGCGGCCTGCAGAGCCTTGAACAGAGTATGCATCTGCAGGTAACGCAAATTGACAGGAGGGAAATCAAGAACGCATGTGCACAGGCTGCCGAGACCTTTGCAGCTGACCCGTCAGGTCGTACACCCTCAGGGGGGAGCGAACGAGCGACGTGGTCAGCAGGACTCTGCCGTCTTGGATACGAGCTCCAACTCGTCTGAGCTTGGTTAGCTCGCAGAAGCTAAGAGAGGAGAGGGCCAGGTTAGAAAAATAAAAAAGAAACACTGGAACACGTCGACATCGACATCTCCAGTCAGCGCTTTACCCCCCCCCCCCCTCCCCCGGTCCGCCCTTCGCAATCAAGACAGCTGCTCTCGAACAAGTAGTTCAAGGATAATGGGACTCCACGGCAATACGGTTCAGAGAGAGGCATTCAGATCGTATTATTTTTGGGGAAACTGCTGAGCAACATTTTTGATAATCAGAGAGAATGGTCAGTTTGGGAGGCGAGGAGGGTGGAGCATGTGACAGATACAAAAAAAAGGAAAATCAAACTATACTTCTATCTAGTTTGCCACAGCCGATAAGGGAAAAATGTTCAGTGACAGAAGAGAAAAAAAAATAGACTTTGGCACAGGCACTCTCGCCGAGATGTCTCAGAGCCCCAAGAGCCGGAGGGGATTACGTAAGTCACTCAGTATACTGGGTCACCGAGTCGTTTTTGATATGCACTACTACTGGGCCGCTGCTACGCTCATTACAGAAACTCTCCTTTTGTAGGTTTTCCGGCGTGTGCCTGAGCCTCGATGGGAAGTTCAAAATCGACGCAGTCATTTAAATCATGCTGTGAATTTATACCACATCGGCGTCGCACTTCACCGCCGCCCAGGGTTTCACCTGAGTGCCGTCGGCCCGGTTTCTGACCGGAAGGAGACCGGAAAATAGCGGGAGCGCGTGACTAATGGCGCTTGTCAAAGGGAAAGTACTCAGGATTCAGTGTAAACTGGTGAATGTTGATCTGTAGCATGGAGACACGCTGTGGCGATGAGGTCGTCTGGGGACAAAATATGCTGCCGCTCCATAAAACAATGCGTAACTGCTCGGGTGCTTTATGACCGCCTGCATTCGTCACGTGGGTTTTCTGACTCGCATCGGACGTCCTACATTTCAGTAAAATAGGGTCCATAGGTAATATTTCCCTTACAGCGTCACCTGGTGACATCATTGATTTGTCTCTATGTTCTGATTAACAGGTAAAGAGACGATACTGACTATTCACCGATTATTTAATACCAATGCTAGCGGGAAACTCATTCTTTCAAACCTATTTTTTCCGTTGCTCTACAAGATAAGAATTAAGTGGGGGAAGGAATAGGTGGTTTGGTTTTAAAAACAACATCGGCCTTGACAAACATGATTTGTTCGTTTAGCCTTGAAGGCCATTTCCAAAACCCACAACAGCTGGAAGAGTTGGTAAAAGGCAGCAACTGTTCAGACAGGTTGGATGTCTCTGGCTGCCACACAATATGGAGGCATTGTTTCTCTGGTAGTGTCTTATTACTTCCCTTTAGCAGGACAAAACCCAGCTTGTTCCAACTCAGAGCACAAGTCTGCCAGGTGAAAGCAACAGTCGTTAAGGCATTGCTATGTTGTAATTGTAAAATATAAACTGCTTTAGGAATTTAGCTGTTTTGTTTAAAAAATGTATATAAATGCATGTTTATTATTCATTGGGACACCAAGAACGTTTTTCGGAAAATACACCTGCTAACAAATAGAAAGCAGCCACACGTCGTTCAAGTGAAAGCGGATGTTAAGGGACGTTGACTTCAGAATAAAAGGACAGTCGATGTGAAAATAACTTGCCAAATAAAGTCAACGTTTGTAATTTCGTATTTATTATTTTGCCAATAAATGTATTTGTCCAGTTAGGTATTCCAATTCACTGCCAGTTCGAACATACCGGGTGTGGTTAAACTGTAATTATTATTATTTTAGATCTGACCGGAAGTCACCTCCTACTACGACCACCGGCTTGCCGTTGTTTCTAGCATAGAGGCGCTACTGACAGCTGACACCTTCCGTCCTCACTTCTCCAGTGTCACAACCTCATAATGACGTTATTAAAAAAAAAGCACAGAGATCACAATCTGCCAAACTGTTCCGCACCGAAGCACAAACCGTCCTCGCACGAGCCGGACTCTCGCGCACCAGGAAGAGAAACGAACATCTCGCCCTTTTTACGGGATAAAACACGTAAAAAAAACAAAAAAAACGAGCCGTTTTTTTTCTGTTGCACGTGTGCAATTTACACCCGGGGGGAACGTGGGAGCTGTAATTGATCGGCATCGATAACGAGGGAGGAGGCGGACGTCAAACAACTTTAGTCCCCCCCCCCCGTCGGTCGCTCGGCCTTACGGCAGCGCCGGTTTCAGTGTGGCGAGCACCCACCCACCCTTCCTCCTCCTGCACCATTTCCGCGTTCGATACCGAATCAAATCCCGGTGCCACGTCGAATCCACACACACAAAACACACACGCGGGTTCGGCCGAACCGGGACAACGGGGGACGACGCACGTAAGCGGGCGGCGTTCGATCCCCGGTAACGAGACAACGCGACGTTATACGGGGGGGGGGGGGGGGTCCACCGGTTAATAAGTGAGAGGGCGCGTGACGCGTCTGAATCGGTGAGTCCAACAAGAGAAGAGAGGGGAAAAAACAAACAATATGTGCAGCTAAAAACAACACAACTTACCAAGTGCCACCTCGCACGCTTTGCGCAACTGCGAATGGTGAGCCTTCTTCACCTCCTTGTCGGCCAGGATCTTCTCCAAAGCTCGTGTGAGGAACATGTTTTTCGTCTTTTTGCCCTCAAACATGTCGCACCGGATTTTTTTTTTTTTTTTGGGGCGAGGTGTGCCTGGTCCCGAAGGCGGGGAGAAGGGGTTCTGGTGGGATGGGGGGGGGGAGGAAGGGAGGTGCAACCGCCTCGAATGGAGATTTGTATTCCTTCACAAATGTCAGCCTCGGAAACCCCCCCCTCCTTAACGGACAAACATAAATAAACACGGAAAGGTGGGGTAAATCCCTCAGATGTCCGCTAGCGACCTGCCTCCTGCGCCATGTTGGAGAGAGGAAGCGACGTCACGCACGTTGAGCTCGGTCGCAATGAGGCAGTAGGGGAGAGGGAGAGAGAGAGAGAGAGAGAGAGAGAGAGGGAGGGAGAGATGTCATGAGTGTAGTCTTACAGCTAAGCTCTCGTGCATACGCCCACATGGGCGAATTAAAGTCACGTGTAAAATAACCGGCATTTATGTATATGCGTGTTAGAAATTAAATCAGTCATGGCAGCTTCGATGTGTGCAGGACTTTTCTGTTGTTGTTTTTTTTGTCTGAATAATATATGCACGTTATAACGGGTTACATGTGCATTATGTTGTCGTGCGGTTATATGGAATGAGAAGGAAACTTCAGTATCCAATTTGAGGTATTTTAAACCCTTACTCTGAAACTTAAGACGCTAACGTTTGCAAGAAAAATTCTCCTTTTTGTTATTCTTATTGGATCATGATATAAAATATATATATTTAACCAACATTTTGATGTATAAACACATATCTTCACACGTATTTAGTTTCTTCAATAGACCACTTGGATTTCATTTTGAAATTACCATAACCCAATGGATAAAATCATATATTTTATGAAAAAATGATTTAAAATGATTGTTGTTATTTAGGGTTGTGAGTAAATATACATTTTTGAACCCCACCATTGCTTTGCTCAATGCGTCACGTACTTTATGACTGTACCTACTGTATATGTTTAGCCACACTGCCTTTTAAAATCTTGAGCGATATTTAGAAAAGTTTGGCAAATACATCCAGGAAATCTGGCAATTTGACAATCCAGATTTGACAGTTGTGGGCGGCAGAGTTCACTTTCCGTTTGAGATGTCTTGTTTTTTTATAGCCGTCAACTCCAGCATTTCTGAATCCATAAATAAGAAAAGAGCTGCAGAATCAGAACGAGGAAAAGAAGAAGACGACAATGTCTATAAGAAAGGGTTGGATTTAAAGAGTTTTGTTTTAAGCAGTGACTCGTTGGGCAATCAAAGGTCATTAGGTTTTACCATAATAAAAGTCATGTGTGCAAAACATGTGGAAAATACCAATACGGGATACAGCTGGGACATGTGGTTGATTAAAGTAACGTAGTAAACACTTGTTATTATACAACGTTTATTGAGTCAGATTGCATCCGTTTATTAGAAGCTCACATCAAGCACATCAGCTGTCAAAAGTAAACATTTCTGACTTTGTCTTTGATCCACACCTGAGTAACTGAGTAACAGTAAGCCACCAAAGAGGAAACGTCATTCAATCCAAATTTTAATCTGACCACCCTCCCTGCCCCCCCCAAAAATAAAACATCCAACAAAAATATTTAGATATTAAACCAAACGCAAGATTGTCAGGTGATAGCATAATTTATGTACACCAACAATGTTGCAGTAATAAAGGCATTAACACGTTAACATTACGGTACATGGCACTCAGAGTCATTTCAAAATAAAACGCAACCAGAATAATAATAGAGATGGGGTCATTAGAAGTGGGTAAATTTAAATGATATTACATATGTTGGAAGAATCTTAGAAAACAAGTGCTGATGTATTGTGACAGGTGGTCACATGACCACTATTCAGCTTATGTGTGTTCTGGAAAAGTCCATGATAATATTCTTTAAAAGAAAAATAAGGCAGTCAACCTCCAACACAAGAACAGCACATTCAAATTCATGCTTTGCTTGTCCTTCTGCGCTCTTCACCTGATAACATCTGGGAGGTATATGAAATCTCAGGTTTTAAAGGTGGAGCTCCGGGGAGCTACTCATATATATGGAAATCTGTCCCTGTCTGTTTCACACTTCTTCAGTAGACCTGATGCGATGGCCTTCACCGCCCTCAGAGTCTCCGTGCAGGTTGGGTTGATCAAGGACTCGGGCAGAAGGAAGCCGAAGTACCCGGTATCTCTCAACTCAAACGCAAACGCATATTGGATCCCGTTTCTGTAAGCCCAGTCTATAGAGCTGCCGGAGCTAACATCTGGGAAAGAGGAGAAAAACAACAAATCGAGAAAGGTTTAGTACAGATTTCAGTTGTAGAAAAATGACTTAGTTTAGCTACTTAATGGTTGGACAAAAACATTCATTCTTATTTTATATTACTCCTCTGCATTTAGCTTCTCTTAGGGGGTAAGACTGCAAGAGTACATCAATTGTGGTTTTCTAGGAGGGAACGGGGACCTCAGAAAGAAGCTGAGGTTGGAAGGAGAGCGGAGCAAAGCGGGTGCGAAATGACAGATAGTCCATTCTGTTTGGTTTTCTACACTTGGAAGAGGCAATGAAGACAAGGAGCGGCACTCACACAAGGTGGTGGAGGCAGGTCCATATCGGTACTTCACTCCGTAGGCCGAGTACAGGGCTGTCACTGCGTTCTGAGCTGCTGACTCCTAAACAGGGAGAGCAGAAGGCCAGTTTGTTAGTGATCCTTTTAATGTCTGCAGTCAGAATTCATATGGACACGTTGCAGTACATGGACTCCCACGTTAAATGGAGACTATCTAGCCAACGACGTCTCACCACACAGTTGAAGTTGGGGATGGCGGCATACTTGTAGGAATAGGGGTAAAGCAGCATTTGGGCGTAAGCGTGGATCGATATGTAGGATTTGACGCGTTTCTTGTGCTTGCGTAAGAACTTGGCGACGGCCTTGACTTCTGGTTCAGACTCGGGGTAGGGACCGCAGTAGGTGTCGTCACAGGGATGGGAGGAGGCCCCCTCCTCTGGGACAGGACAGGAGAGCAAAAGCGTTCTATAAATCCCACGGGAATACATTGTGATTGTCGGACCAGATACACAAGAAGTTGCGATCGAATGTTCAGAGACCGAGATGGAGAGAAATTGTGGGGAGAAATAAACCCAAAGTCACATTATGATGCCATGGATAACAGTCCCAGATAAATATAGGCTGCAGAGACGAAAGTCAGCTATAGATGTGTCATACGTGTAAAGCAATGCGTAAAATTGTAATTAATAAGCATATTCTCCTCTTTTAAGCAGTTCTCCAGTAGTCAAACTGCTGTATCAACAATGGTCTATTTTTTATACGCGTAAACTCTCGTGTAAACATTTCACTGACGTGAGCTTTGTAATCGAGTTCCCGAACATTTACTTTGTGATTTAATATTCCTTCGCACCGGCAAAATTTGATTCCTCAATTTCTCTGTTTCTCATCTCACTTTGCGTCTCCGTATGTCTCCGTGTACCGCAAGCATCTCTGATAAATTCCCAGAGCCCTCCCACGGTGGAGACTATGATTCACCAGGACACCCCCCACCCCCTCTCCCTCCACCCACCCATCTCCCACTAGAGACTAAAATGTGTAAACATCAGACACGTTTTGTTGTCACTGGCCAAATATTATTGCCACAGCTTACACTGATAAATAGTCAGGAAAGGACGACGATCAGCACCAGACTAAAGCGGCAGCGGGAGTGTCTCCATGCGTGTGTGTGAGACTCACCACACCATTTGACCTTCCAGTTCCGGTTGGCGTCCACGCCTCTGCAGTGGAACCTGTGATTTTTGGACCGTGTTTTCCTCCATAACCGATCCTACAGGAAGCACAGAGACGACGTCACTGCGCGTGTCTACAGACCGGCAGGGTCATCGAATAGATGGAGCTTCCTGCCATCTCCAAAATAATTTATCACTCCTGCAGCTTTATTTAAAAAAGACATGTGTGGAAAGATGGTCTATTATAAGCTACTTAGACAGATATAAGGTCTGCATACTGAAAATAAAACACATTGTTATGACTATTTCGTTTTTTCATTCTGAACCACTTGGACACAAAATATTCAGTATACAGCCTTGAAATTATGCAAAATATGTTGGCAGGAGAGATGTGTTACCAGTAATTATTCTGAATCCATGCAGCTGAATAAAACAACTGTGTTTTGCAGACGGACCCAACGTTCTTTTAAATAGTACATTAACTTCAGAAAAATGAGTGAAAATTGGAAGACATTCATCTACCGTGGTCCAGCTGAAATTATATCCATCCACATTGAACACGGGCATGATGTAGAAGTTGAGCTGGTTAAGCAGTCGCCTCATCACAGAGTCATGCTGGTATGAGTTGATGGCCTTGAATTTGAAATAGTAAAAAAACAGAATAAATACAGACCACAAGTCTAGATTGGTGCCTAAATATGCAATTGCATGTTGCTTTGACAGAAGTATTACCAATGCACGAGTGCAAGACTACAGATGACAATTGGAGTGAGGAGATCTGGGAAAAATACTGCTTTACCTGCTCTTGGATCAGGCTGGCCAAAGTGAATGTGCTTTGAGCCCTAAAACAAAGATGGCACCCTGACCTCCAGTGGCCAAATCTAGTTCCTACATGGCAGTGGATGCACATTTTAGAGCAAACATTCTAGCATCTTCGAATGTTCATCCGCTCAAATGCTTTAACTTTTCTTTTCTTTTTCTCCTGGTCCCATTTTTACGTCAGTCTGTTTCTGATTTCCTGCTGCAATCTGTCTTTACCCTTATTCGCTCAGCTGCTACTCCTACTTTATCCTTTGAAAACCTCCCTACTGAACTTCCCCGTAATGGCCTTATGTGAGTTCTCAGTTTGAACCACCACATTCAAGGCTCAAGTATCTGCAGACGGAGTGTCTGCAGAACAGAAATGTTCCCTTCTTTTTGTAAATGGTACGCTCCACCATGTGCATGAACCACTTTATAGTGGCACATGTTTAAGTTATTAACGGCACATTGGGTTACTGAGTTTGAAAAACGTATTTAAGCCTTTTTTTTCTGTAACTCAGGGCTATACACTAATATTAATTTACTTTTCTTCAATTATCTTGTTCGTGTCTCATCTGGCATGTAAGTAGAACAAAGCAAGCCATTAAAGGTTGTTGCAGTTAATGTCTGCCTCTGGTCGGGTACCTTCCACAGTAACACAGACTGCGATGGAACTTGTGTGCACGTCTGGGTTGTGTCCAACATCTGGACAATAAACGTTATTCTTCAGTATTTTCAAAAACTTTCCATTGCAAATTTAAAGATGTTGGCATTTTGTTTTGAGCCGTCTACCCTAGAAAGGGAAGACGGCTCGCTCGCTGCAGGCTACCATTTAGATCTCACACTGCATCGATTGCAAAACAATAAAAGCTCAAGGAGCGTTGAGGGGGTTTCAATTTGCAGATAAACTCCAGACTACCTCTTTGACAAACCACTGGCAGAAAGCAGGCCCGATCCACTCTCTGGCGTGGACGCCACAGTCGATCCACACGGCTTTCTTCTGATGACGACTTCTCTTTCCTATCTGACAGGAGACAAAGCAGGTTTAAAGCTCCGCCGGCCTCATTTCCTTCTCCTGCGTGTGAGTGTCGGGCTTTCTCGCCCACCTGAAGCACGTAAAGGGGTCTCCCCTCGTACGACTTCCCGATAGAGAACATGTCCACCAGGTGGGAGTTGGTTCGGTTCATCTCAGACATCCAGCCTTGGATCTTGAGGACAGGAAAGACAACGCAGAAGAGTGAAGGTCACTCCAGGACCTGTTGTTGAAGTGACATATCAGAGTGTTTTACAGCAAAGCAGAGGATTAAAACTTGGGCAGGAAAGATTTGTACTCTTAGGATCTGTGTGGAGATCAAACCCGGAGAGTTTGAAGTAGAGTGCACTGAGTGCGGAGAGAGAGAGAGAGAGACATGTGGAACGGGGCAATCTGGAGTTTGAGAGCATCTCAGAGAGGACGTTTGTCTGCGTGTAAGAATTCCGTGTAAGAATTAGATTGGAGGGCCGAAGAGAGAGAGAGAGAGAGAGAGAGAGAGAGAGAGAGAGAGAGAGAGAGAGAGAGAGAGAGAGAGAGGGAGAGAGAGGGAGACTCAGGGCTTCACACCTCTTCCAGAGAGTGGTAAACCTCGTAGTCATACTGAGACTGTGACCTCCGCTTGCGGGAGGAGCCGTGTCCCGTCTGCTTTTCAATTTCCTTCTGCAGATTGGAGATAAACACCCTGCGGATGGATGAGAGGAGGTTAGACCATGACACGTGATGAACAGCCAAACCAATGGACACTTCCTAAGAGAATATTGCTTCAAGAATGGTTCTTTCAATATTCTGCTCTCGTGCACAATCATCATATTATAAAAGATTGTAAACTGTGAATACTGTTAATTATTGGTAAATGTAATAATTTGATATTGAGCTATTTAAAGCTCTTTTTGGTTGCCTTTAGTAAGATTTACAAAGAGCTTAATGTATATAAGCCTCCAGGCCTGAAGTTAGTATGTTAGTGTTAGTTCATCATTAAAAAAGGTTATTTAGCTTATGAATTAATTTGTGGCTGCTTGAAAGTCCAAAACGTGTAAATAATGGCACAAATAAATCTTATACGAATATCTGCATCCTAAAAAAACTACAAAAACAATTCAGTTTAAACAGAAAATATACATTTATGGCAGAAGAGGATATAATTTACCCAAATTATGGGAGTGACAGCGAGATCCTCTTTGTGGCAGTGGCAAGTGGGTGGCATCAAACATGAGAGCCCCACCCCCTACACGGAACCCGCCGGTCCAAACCTAAAATTAGCCTCTGTAATAAGAAGACGGGGGCTCACGTGTCTCAAATAAAATTAAATAAAATAAAATATTTACAGCAGCTGACCTGTCGTACAAATAACAGTTGTTTCTGGGAAAAATTGGCTCCTCCCACCCAGCGTGCCGTTGTGATGCCGACTGATTTACTGGCGATTGCCGCTGCTTGCCACAAAGTTGCCACCAACTTGCCACTGCCACAAAGAGGATCTCGGCCTTACTGAATTATGGATTCATTAACAGATTTGATGGTATTATTTGATGAATATTGTCCTCCTTTAAGGATTTCAGACTTTGAATCAAACTAAATGTCAAAACCCTGGCATTACCCCATACAGCTACTTTAAAACATAACCAATGCATGTCAATTTAGTGCAGATATTCCCATTTAATCGTTTGTTTAAAGTCCCCGTTTGACTGCAGTCACGGCATTTCAAGCGGATATACCATGTCTGGTAGGTGTGGGTGTTGAGGGCTGGCATGAAGTGTTGGATCAGGGGTCCTGGATCCATTGTTGACTCACTCCTAACACCAATTATGTAACAGTCCTCACTGAATCCAAACCAGCTTTCTGGTTCGATAGCACACAGGATACTAATTAAAACGCTGCTGTTTATTAGTTCATAAAATCTGTTGCAAATGCACCAAAAGCCCCATCATCACACCCATTATGCGTTTATAGACTTCTCCCACGTCCCAGACCCTTTGCCTCCTCACTTCTGTTGTTTTCGTAGCAGCAATGTGGGCGGCCAGACTTTCCCAAAATACACTTCCTCATGAGGTCTCATACGTACAATCCTCCCCTACAGTGAAAACCATTTTCTCAGTCAATCAACACAGTAACAAAAAAATCCTCAGATTTGCAATTGCTCCCTGTGGACAGAGATGACAATAGAACTCTTTGATAAAACGCCATCGTTTCAACGTTAATTCTAATGAGGGATGGAGTCGGGACATGAAAGGGCTGCTTTTTGGAGCGGATTGGGAGAGGCGCTCCGATGTGCAGCGTGTGTGTCTGCATGCATGTGTGTGTGTGTGTCAGTGTGTTTCTCAGCGTCAAGGGAAGCTTTTCTTGCATGCAAAGTGCAGTCGGCTCCGCATGTGCAAATCATAAACTGCGGCCGAAGAGAGCTAGGCGATTGCAACGCCTCTTGGATTACAGATGTGCGTCCGGATGGGGGATACTCGGCTAACATCACCAAATATGTGCGACTGCTGTGGGTCTTTCTTGGCTTACCGATAATCGAGATGCTGCTGCTTTAAGCGTGCACGTAAATCCCACGTGTCATTGCGTTTCACATGCACATCCACGGTTGCATTTTGACAGATTAAAGTTACGCTGTTGGGCTGCCAGAAGTCCACCTAAAAGAGAAGGACAAACATATAACCCATCAGGGGTTACAGACACACATCAGACACACACAACAGCGTATCATCATGAGGAGAACGAGTGAGAATTCTCCTTCAAGTTGTGATCATTTGTATGTATCGTCTACATAAATCAGGAAATTCTTTTGAAAAAATGTTCATGGACAAAAATCATTGGGCGGGAATGTCTGTTTTGGACTAATCCATCCATTTGAAGGCCAGACATAAAATTGATATCGAAATAATTCAGGTCCAATCAATTCAGCACCACTCTTTCTTTTCCCCTCATGTAAAATAATGTACCAGGCTGCAAGCGAAGAATCATTTTAATGAGGCACAATGAGGCTTGTGAACTTGTTTCACCGACAGCTTTTAATGCAACTGATTGTGAAAAGAAATGGAACACACGTTGACAAGAATGTGTACTTTATGACTTTTAGGCGGATACACGCGCGCCAGGCCAGTAGTGGCACTAAAACACCAGACCGTATTATCTTATCTGCTGGCCGTTTAAAATAGCACCAAACATTTGAACATATTGTACTAAATGGGGGACATATCACAGCATTAATGGGGCAAAGCACACTCCAACATGCCGCTCCCCCCCCCCCCACCTTTTGACCTCATATCAACCCCAAAAATCCGGTTATCTGGCCCTGATGCTCGACTCTGTTGGCTTTAGCTCAAAGAGCGAGTCGGCCCTGTAAACACAGACATGGTGTGATGACTGATACCAGAGAGAGCCGACCTACGGATGACACACACGGCAGAGTCCCTGCAAGGAGGACATCTCACGTTGAGCGTCTCAGCAGCCTTCGGCTGGCGTCCGTTGGAACGTGGCGGCGGAGACACGTCGGCCGGCACGCGTGCTTGTTAGCGTGTCAGTGGTTGGCAGAATGCATGCCGGATTCATTTCCCTTTGTATTTAGAGGTAGAGGGGAAGGAAGTCCTCGGCTGGACTGTTTAGTGCCCTGGTGGAGAAACCGCTCTCTGCTGCTGCTGCTGCAGGTATTTACGCCACTTCCAAACGGTTAAGTACCCCCGATAATTCACTCTGCTGGAAACCAAGCAAATCCAAAACACATGCGCCTAAAAAGCCCTTGTTATCCCTGATCAGATAACGCAACTCCTCACAAACAATTCACTCGGTTTATTTAATAGCCGTCTTGAATGCATTCCTTGTCTGCTTTTTAAATCGTTTGTGTGCTCATTGTTAATTTGATTCTTTTTCTTTTTATGTGTGACTGTATATGCAGGGTAGCTATAAATCATATTTGTGTTGTTTTGCTTGATGTAACGTAGGTGTGGGCAGCGCAACAAAGTAAAACGTTGTGGTTCAATAAAAAGAGGAGGCTTCCCTTGAGGCAGATGCAGTAAAGTCAAGTAAAAGAAAACAAGTCACCAAAGTACAAAACTGTTTGTCGGTTAATATTATAACCACGATAACCGGCTGTTTGACTACCTTTCGGGTAATGACTTTATACATCTCTGGAACAAACCTTTACAGCTTTTTGGGGGGAGATATATCATTTATTTCATAGTGAAACAGTTACGGTTGCCAATCAAACAGACCAGCATCTGTTTTGGTTGTTATGCAAAAATACCAAACGTTGCACATAATTCCGTTTGAAACAAAGTTTACTTGTATGGATTTTTTTGGGGGGGGCAGTGGCCAAGTGTTTAAAAAAAACAAACCTTTTTACAGGATAGGTTAAATGTAATGTCAGTCAACCACATAGTAAAGCCAAACCAATTGAACAATAACTCTTAGTCTATGGATGGATGGATGCAATTCCTGATTGTGGTAGTTGTAGTAGTTGTGTATTATTTGACCTCCTGTTGAGCCTGAGGCTGAAGAGCTTGACTCCGGCACTGGGGGCATGGCAGCGTGGCTAAAGCTCCTGAAAACACATGTCCACAGCTGTCCAAACAGCCGCTGCCACCGCCTCGCTCGGTCTCCGAGTACCGTGTCCGCTGCCCCACCGTACGAGCATAAAACCAGCAACCCGGCTCCCTCCTAGAATCCCTCGTCACGAATCCTAAACATTTACTGAATCTTCCCTTTTTGCCCTCTTCTGTTCTTTCCCTGCTCGGAGCGGCATCGGTTCTAGACCGTCGAAGTGAAGCCTGGCCTGAACCCTTTCATCACTGACACCACCCAAGCCGAGCTGGAGAAACGGAGCACGCCGTCACTGATAGGAATCAGTTAGCTGTTCAATTGAAATGTGTTTAAGTGGAGCATTTCTTTCAAGGGGGAGTTGTTCCGAACACAAACTACATTTAACCTCATGAACAAAAAACAAAAAAACATCACAGAGCCTTTCCTCTATTTTCACGATGATACAATATTACGTTGATTTTTACAATGCGATGCGTCATTGCACACCATTGTTTTTTATCATATACAGTATTTCCGAACATCAATTGATGGATTGTTATATACTTACTATAGACAATCAAAGTTCCTCTGTGGGGAAATAGCACAGATTTTTATCCATTCAACTTTTAAATAAATTATTTAAAGACAATTTGCTGCACAAGGATTTTTAAAATTGCGTCATGCTTTCCAAACGGTATTTGCAGTGTATTTGTATACCTAAACAGTGTGCAAAGGAAGTTCATCAGGACTCCTGGGGCCGATGGGGTAATTACTCCCACATGAGTCTGGGAGAGGAGGCGAGGCCATTGTGTCCGATTTCCATCCTAATTTAAATATCTTTAAAAAATCCCTCTGTTCTGCCCATCAGCGTTGTCCCTTTAATAATCAGTGACTGCTTTTAAAAAACAACAACAGGAGACAACACAAAGTGGGAAGAAGACACGTTAAATATGAAAAACAATCAAATCTGAAAAAAAATAGATTGTGTTAAGTGGAACAGCTTCAAATGGTGTCAGATGTAGGTCCTACTGTCAACAAAAGGTCAGAGCAGTGGCATTGAATGTATAAATATATATAATCAGACCTTCATGTGTCCCAGAATCTTCTGGAGCACTTGGACCTGCTCATCATTAGTCGGGGTTATCCTGAAGATTTGATCCCTGCAAAAACAACAAAGCCCTTTTAGTTATTGGGTTGAAGGTGCTTTCAAGGGAATAAAATTCACTGTTCGTTTTTTTTAGTGCAAATCGTTAAAAAAACAGCTGGGTTGTGGAGTCTCATGTAATAACACTTTTGTGCTTATTTAAAGGGACATTTATGAAAGGAGATGTTTGATGGTGAGATGGGCGGTTTCTCTTATAGCGTTCTATAGATGAAAGAGGCAAACACACACATTAGAGGGTTGTATTTCATCATTTCCAGCTGGAGCTATTCGTTGGTGGTTACAGTAATTTTATGAACTCCAGACAGAAGTCTGTCTGTTTGTTTATGAATAAAAAGAGGCTGGACGGTGACTCAATATGGTAATTTACCATTTGTCAACGGAATCATTTTATTAAGAAATTAAAATAGATAAAGATATTGGGAAACAAAAGGACGTTTTCTTAATTGATGATTACAAGCAAAATCGGCTGAAATAATGAAATAAAATAACACCCAGTACCTATTTGTCCAGAATTTAATTCACACAAGGGGATACAAAACCATGAATATCAATTAATTGAATTGATCCGATATTGTGATATATATATTGTTATCGAGATAAAAAATGATTATTTTGAATATTTTGTCGATATCGTCCACATCTAAGAAGACATTCAATGATAACAATGATTCAATATAAAGATCAATACACGCGTTTTCTAACTCTTCACATGTTGGTGTTGGCAGATCATTCAAATAGAGAAGCTTGACAGCTTTTCTAACTGAATCTGCAGCCACATCCTTCACATTAACACAAAGATACTCTTTATACTCAGCGTGAATCAAACATAGTGCTGCTTTCACTCTACAGTTCCTGCGGTTGACCTTAAAGCGAACACGCTGCCAATAATTTATTACCCACTCTTAATTACAGACTCCGAGTCGGCCCAGTTACACGGCAGAGGTTGTACATGTGTTCACTTTCACGTCTCATGTTTTTTTTTTCCAAAACCTCTTCTCCCTTCTCACGTTTCGTCTGCTCTCAAAGAGCTTTTTTACAATGTGACACGCAGGAAGTTGGGCCTCCTAAACAAAGGTGACGGCCGGCTACGCTGAGTTTTTGAGAAACAAAAGGCGGTGCGGGTGTCTCACTTGAGTGGCCGTCAAATTTCAGTGACCACCACTCTGTGCTCAAAGAAAAAAGGAAACAGGCCGTTTCCATGGCGACTGCTTGATAGAAGATGGACTTCAAAGCAAACGTGTTTTTTGGAGGTAAGATTATTGTTTGGTTGTGATAGGAATTGAGCTCGGGGAACCAAATCAAGACACATTTCCAACTTTTACAACAAAAACATGATAGGGTTGGAATATTTTCTCCCTTCCTGTGTGAAAAAAAAAAGTGCTTCTACATCTTCAATTCGTGCACATAGGGACGTTTGTCAGGCCTTTGCCTTTAATTCTCTTGTGTAAGTGCACAACAAGTGCACTTACACAAGTAAGTGCACTTACACAAGTAAGTGCACAACACCACACTCAGCCCATGATTAAATCAAGTCGCACCCCAGAGCTCCTCTGCAGTCCAACGAGAACCATTTCTTCATCTTGCAGGGATGACAGACTGTTTGTGTTGGCTTGGCCTTTTGCTGCAGCTGCAGCCGTCTCTGCACCAAAGCTGCCCTTAAGTGTTCAGTGTCTTGATTCCCACATCGGTGCTCTCTCTCTCTCTCTCTGGGGTGGAAGCAATTTGTTTTGAACTGAGAAGTTGACTCTCGTTATAGTGCTTTGAGTACATTCATCATTCCACCATTCAATAATTCTCTGTAACTGAACGAAACATTTTGGACGTTTTCTATTTGGACTAAATGATGAAGCTGAGCTGATGTCTTAGTGCTATATTTTCTTTTCGTCAAACCAGAGAGGTATTGCAATTTTTGGATTTCATCCAAAATATATGTTGTTTGATATAGAGGAGGTGGGGGTTTCGTCTGCAATTACATCAAGTCCTCTTTGGAGAAACAGACCATAAATCCGTGCTTTTGACAAATGACTGTGTTCCCATCGGAGACTCTACATTCAGCAAACCCTTTTCTATTAGCCTCTATGTGGGGCGGAGTGCACCGTCTCATCCAAAGGCCACCAGACATCAAGATCAGCGGCATACGGGCAAACTTAAAACATCATGTCTCCAACGAGGAAGAGCACGGAGACCGTGTGTGTCCATTAATGTCTACCACCAGGAGATAAAGCCCGTGTCTTGCTGTGCAGAGATTGCCTGTGCAGAAAACAGACAGCGACAGAGTGCGCCTGCAGGACGGGAGTCCCGTGAGCCCCACGCGTAAATGAATGTGTGTGTGTGTGTGTGTGTGTGTGTGGGGGGGGGGTTGTGTTTACTCACCCCGGCGTAGCGGTTGTTGTAGAGACGGGCACCGACGGGACTTGGCACATTGCTGCAGATTATCACACACGCCAGCCAGGCGGAGACGTGAAATGCGCTCCCGCGGTCCAGTTCCATCCTTGGGAAAAAGCGGATCAAAGACGGACGGCAGGCTTCTTTTTTTGGGGGGGGGGGGGGTTGGAGGATGCACACGACAACTTCTTCGGGTCGGTCCAGCGCAACATCAGCAAAGTCCCCCCTTTAAGTGGCGGCGCGCTCCGCGGCAGTTGTCCCTCCGACGCGTAAGGTGTCGATCATCTGGCACTTTGGGAAACACTCACCACCTCTTTGAAGCTCTGGAGGGAATTGCAGGGTAGCGGCTCCTTTTCTTTTTTTTTTTAAACGAGGAGGACCTGAGTCACGTGGGCCGGTGTCGGCGAAGTTGGTAACTGGATCCCTGGTCGCTGGTGCGCACTGTGTGCTCAGGGGATAAACTATAGTGAGCCGAGGACACATGTTCGTTCACGAAACGCGATTTGTTGAAATGGAAAAGTACGCGTCTCTTTAGACTTTAAGCGATGCGTAAAGTTGTGTGTGGAGACGTGAACTGTATCAAGCAAGTGACTCAACAGCAGGATTATTCACGCGTGGCGCGCTCAGATCGGGTCTGTGGAAAGAAGGCTCTCGGCTCTTTTCATGTTTTTACCAAACTGTCAGATCCCAAACTGGTCCACGTCCTGCTTACTGACTTCACATTGAGTTTTTCTAATAAACTTAACACTAACAGCAGCCAGTTCCAATGAGCATCATCTTGTCCACTTGATTTTTTTTATAACAACTTGGCCAGGCCCAAATAAATGGACACAATGAATCTAGAAAACCGACATTAATATCCTGTTAAGCCCCTGGATCCTCAGCTTCCTCTTCGCTTATACCCCTGTGCCTCAAAGCCAGAGTAATAACCAGCTATCATCATCCCCATCAGTGCCTATAGGAATCCCTGTGTAGAGCAGGTAGCTCTCTATAGCTTGTTCTACGCTTCCCGTGCCTCCGTTTGATCCTCTGCTCATCACCCAACGTGGTGATTAAATGCCTAAGTCAACCGCCTGGCCTTTTCAGCAGCACATTTTTCACATGCTTCTTTCCAGCGGCCACCTGTTTCACACCCAATTACTGTACTACCCATCCCAAACACTCCCCGCTCCGTACAAAGCCTTCCCCTCATTGACTGACATGACAGTTTACAGCACGGCGATCCGGTTTCTGACAACTTCCACTTTGATCCAGGATACAGGAGGAAAAGGGGAATAGCTTTAACACGGGTTCTCAAATGAGCAGCAATAAATAGCTTGGAGACTTTAGGGGTTAGGGTTAGTAGTAGTGGGCTCATCGTCTTTTGTATTTCGTTTGAAACTCTCAGGGATTAACTAATGGCCACAATGGCTTTGAGGTAAATAGTCTTGTGAAAATCCACTGAGTCTTCTCAGTTAAGAAGTGAAAACAGATTTAGTGTTGTTATATTGTCTTACCAATTCACAACCTTTCCTATTCTTTACTGATAGCATGATTAGAAATTGATGACATGTGTGTAAAGTTTAGGACTTTAAGAGGGAATAAGAACGTTATGAGTTCTGCATCATCATGACCACACTATGTGTACAGATTTGTTTGACAGGCAATATCACTACATTAGTTGATTTCTTTCCTTTTTAACTCCACAGATTTGAAAAGCAACATCCCCCGTTAAAACAAATCCATATTATAATTTAAAAATGTGAAATGTGCCATGGATTAAAAAGGGATTTTCCGACTGAGCTATTTTCCAAAACATAACGTGAACCCATAAACTGTTTTTCGAGCACCCCGACACAGCTGCACACAGAAGCATATTCATAAAATACTTTCTTTGCGTTCCATGTGTATCGTGTTCAGGGATTTGTGGGCGAGAGGGAAAGCGCTTGCTTCTGAAGGTTGGCTGCTCATTCAAGACGTCGGCCGAGGGCGGCGGTGGGAGTCGGTGGGACGGTCTCGGTGTTGTTTTTAACACACAGGAACGCACATCTGGGCGCGGTGGCACTGCCTTCGGGGCGGTCTGCGGCCTGCGGGAAGGTGAAGAGCCAAGTGCCTTTCGGAGGGCCGAGTCGAATGCCGCTCAATCTCCGAACGGCACAGAGGTCTAATAAATCACTGTGTTCCTCTCGGGGGTGTGAATGAGCTCTTTGATAACCATGCAGTCTGAGGGCCCGGCTTGCTCTGGTCGTGGTGGCTGATGACGGGTGCTCTGGTGAAATTCTGGGGCTAACTGCAGCTCTTTGTGATGCTTTTAGGTCGTCTGCAGGATCTGAGAGATCCCAGCTGACCCATAGCGGGGCTGTGAGGGCACATCTATGACCTTTTGATCCCCCGGGGAGAGATGCAAAGAAAAGGAGCACAGGGGGTTAAAGATTGTCCGCAGCACAAAGTGGACCATCAGGCAGCCAGAATAGAGAATTTATGCGGAGATAATCTCAACAACAAGGACCTACATTTGCAATCATGCTTCATTGTGAGATAAAAGATGAAACAGGAGTTTTACAGGGAGCATTGCACAAACATCTGCAGCCCACAGACTTCCATCTGCTGGATTGGAAAGTACAAAGACGTGCTTACAGTAATGGAAATCAGGGAAATGAGGAATGGCTGTATGAAGAGCAGGGGGTCTTGGCAGCAGAGCATATGGTTAAATAAAGAGTGTCAGGGATTGACATGGCTATTATCATATATTTGTACTTTCCAACCTTTCATTTTGGAATGAAGATATTTTCATGTATGGTTAAAATTAACAAAATACTATCACAATATTACTTGTGACCAGTTATTTGTCTTATCAGTAACTCAGGGAAAAGGCCGTTTTGAGAAAGAGGACAAAAACAAGTCAGCTAGAAAATGTATATACAAATGTAATAAACGTAAACGTAAGCACAGCGAGACTTCATCACATCCGCACACCTGAACTATTGCAAATGGGCCACAACTCAACTTACCTCAACCTGAAGCTTGGTATGAATGACATTTTTGTAATACACGTTTGCACCTAAGGCCTTAGTTCTGCTATCAAATAACACTGAATGAATTTCTTTAGAAAGTATCTTGTGTAATGGAAAAATGTATGTAACCCTTCAAAATGTTTCATTGCAATGAACAAGGCCATAAATTGCAAGTGCTGGGCTGGTGTGGCCATGATAAAGAATTGAGCTGGAGCGTCTCACACCGATAAGATGCCAGTCTCCCGGCTGTAGAGACACAGTTGACAGACATGTTTGACTCAGCACCCTATTCTTATTCACCGATTGTCTGTGCAAAATGTTTTCCTTTTCTCAGCTGTTTTTCAGGCACTAAATGCCAGTAGAACGTTTTCATCTGATTCACAAGCACCAAGTTTCCCTCCTCTAAGTCCTGAGAGTCTGTCGTGATTAGAGAAGGTGGAACTACACACTCTGCATCACGCCCTCTTTAGGAATAAATGGGTTGTATAGGAATGTTGATTTTGGCTCCCACAAACTGATTCACTGAAGGGTTCATGGGTGGGAACAAAGGGTAACGTTTCCATATCAGTGTAAATTCACAGTGTTATCGCCACTGAGGCTTTATTTTAAGAGCAAATAGTCATAAAAAGTGCAGCTCGTATCGGCCTGACACTCCTTTTCCAATGGGGAGAACAGAACCCTTCCTGGCAACACCAACAACAAGCCACCGGCAGCAATAAACCACTGATACAAGTCAATTCCACAGATCAAAGGCATGGGCAATAAAAGCTGATGTCCTGGAAATGTACCTGCACTGGCTAGTATAGAGTCCATAATTAAAACAGTCTACCGCACATTTCTAATAGCGTTTCTCAGCTTTTCGCCTGTTTACGACCCAAATTTAGTACAGGAAGCGTCAGACTGGGATCCCGGCCCGACCAGGCTTCCAAGGGGCTTTGGCAGTAAGCAGACTGGTTGTGAGACTGCAGCTGTGTCTGGTGAGAACCCTCCTGTTGGTTCATAGGAGGATCAGTATTTCAGTCTAAAACAACAGCGCTCTCTGGTGACGGAAAAGTAACAGCGCGAGACACAGCTTCGTCTTTGGGACGCACAGCCAAAGTACTAAATGTGACCACCAGAGCCCACTGCATGTCAACATTTACTCTAGTCTAAGGGCCGTGTTCTCATCACCGCCCACAAAACAGACACTAACCTGTAATTGAGACATAAAATACATCTATAAAGTAAAGACTCCCCGTGGTGCTGATGAATTAGGGCAGCAGTTCTCGGTTAGAGCCCCGTTTTCTCGTTTGCCGAATGTGTTTTGCAGACAGTTCACTCCTTAGAATACGCTGAGATGCATGAAAAAGAATGTCACGCAACAATTTTTCAGCAGAATGGCGATCACTGAATCCCCACCTGTTGAAATGTTAATCCTTGAATCATCATTGTATGCAACAAATGGCCTCAAAAGACTTGCTGCTTGTTAGTTGTGCTGCTATTTAACTAGGCTACATGACCCAAACTCTCAGTATATAAACACTTAACAAGCTTGGAAGCTCTTCCTGAACTGCAGCCTGAGCAAGAAGGGACTTTGCACACACAGATCTTCCCTCAGTGAGAAAGCATTTCCTCATCAAACACACTCTGACCAATCCTCGTTTGTGCATCTCGTCCTTCTTTATGCATATTTGTGTCTTTGCTGTTGTTTTCTTCAGCTTAAGAAACTGCACCCACATTCCAAGCGGTCGAAACTGAACAGGATTCATGCGTAACCAGTTGTGCAAATATTTGCTCTCTAGCACCACGGCACCTGCTTGATGAATTGAGATACAGATATTAAATCATATGTTGTAATACAATGGTGCAGAGGCAGATAGGGTGCATTTTTATTAAAGATACTGCTGGGTTCTTTGGGTACAATCTGCGGTTTAGTTTGCTTTTTTTCAGTTTGTTATAAAAGTCCAAACAACTACAATTAATTAGCCCATGGATGGGTTGTTGCTAAATTTGGTTCCAAATCAATTCAGCGGTAATGTGGCGATGCTGAGGAAGACACGGGTCTGATTGTGTTTCAAAATGAAACTTTGTCTCATGAATTTCATCAACGAGAGAGAGAAGAACCTCGGGGGATTTCTTTTTTTTTTTTTTTTTCAGGCCTCTGTTGAAGCTCTGGTTTGTGCCGAGTCTCAGACCCTCACGAGCCGCATTAACTGGGTTCTGCAGCTAATGAGACTGATCTCAAACCTGTTTGTAGCTTAACCGCAGGGGAAAGCATTAGTCTGATGCAGTGCAGGCGTATTTGTGACTCCCACTTTCCTTGAAGTTCTCCTACTGTCTGTGTTTTTATATAAAGAAATGTCCCTATGGTTTCAGAGATACTGGTGACAACCTAATTTGCCACTGAATGATCCAAGCAGAGATGGGACGACTGATGACTGAATTCCATTACTTCATTAAAAGAACAGAATTAAAGAAATGTTTATAATTCCCACACATAGGTCTATGCATTCTTAACTGTTGCAAACCAAGAGGGTTCCACACAAGCGAGAACGTTTACCCATTCCATAAAACTAAAGTGCTGAATCTTCTCCTCGGTGATACTCCCTCTGCGTTGGAATCAGGATGTGTCGGTAATCCCTGTGGTCATGGGGACTTGAAGGTCGTAAACATTTTCCTGTTTATCCAGTATTCAGGAATGCCAAAACCAAACACAGATTACGACAATAGTGAGAGACGAGCAGCAATGGTCCCTTCAAGTTAAAATGACACGTGCGAAACATGTATTAACGCGCCTTTCATTTCCCGCACTTTTTTTCACCCAAATTTTTCACCAGATATCATCTGCAATCCCAGTTGCTTATAACTCATCTTTATGGTCATGAAAAAAACCTGTTTGTTGGCGCAGTTTTGCACCAACCCCCCGCAACCGGATGTCGCCTGGCTCCTTTGCCGCTGGTCCTCCTCCCTCCTGCGCACCGAGGGTTCGCCCGGAGGCTGGAATCAGGATGAAGAGCGTTGGGAGTCACTGGGACTCAACTTTCCAAACTGGTGTCCACTTGTTGCGCACTCTGCGGTCGCGCTGTGCGTGCGGAGCGGTGCCGCGCCGTCGTGTCGCTTCCATCTCGCGTGCGCTTTTCATTTGCATTGTTTAAACTCACGCACGCATTTTTATCCGGTATTGTTTACTTTTATTATTTTTTTCTCAGGGAGTGGGGGGGAGGATTTCCAGACACCGGTTGCCCCCCACACCCGCCTCAATGCACACCCCTCCACCCCACCCACCTCCGCGTCGAAACCATGCTGCAAACTTTGCACTCGAGACCCGTCGGGTGATGTGAAGCCTCTGTGGGAAAAAAGGGACACAAAACACAGCGGTCTAAACATTTTTTTTTTTGCATCTCTTTCACTCATCATGACGGAGGAGAGCAGAAGCGATCACAGAGCCGAGAGCGGGAAGGACTTGGAGAAACAGCTCCGGCTGCGAGTGTGCGTCCTCAGCGAACTTCTCAAGACCGAGCGGGATTACGTTGGGACGCTCGAGTTTCTCTCGGTGAGTACTTGTGAGAACCGGTACTCATGAAACCCCAAAGACGGTAAACAGCAACCAAAAAAAAACCACACACATTTTAAAATCAAGAAAATAAAAAGCCCGAAATAAGCAAACAAACCCAAACCAGTATTAGTATGCGCGCTGCGTCCAAGTGTTCCTTGTGAATAATCTGTGCCATCAGACCTGAAGCCACTGCTGCTTTTTATGACGCGTCTCTGACGTAATAATCAACGTTTACCTGCGATACTCTGTGAATCCGTCCCCCTTTAATGGAAATATTAACTTAAAGACATTTCGAGTACAAAGAGGCAACGCATTTAGTGTGATGTTCAATCCCATCTCGGTCTGCTGGTAGTGGCTCATGTTGTCTGAACACAAACTATTTTAGTCTTAATTGCTGGCACTATACGTTCCTTTTAAGATGACTAAAACATAAAAAGTTTTAAAACATTTGTTTTCTTCTAATTGAAATGACCATGTGGTCATTTTTGACTTGTTTACCTTGATGTTTCATAAGTGATTCTATCCACTTTTGCATTCATTTTACACCGGAAATAAACGCTTTATCTGAGAGCGAATGGGCTGAAATTCAACAGGGACTCTTCTGTAATAAAAATATCCGTCTTTCTGCTCACCCTGTCTTTACAAATCGTGCTCCACAGCACATCTCAATCAGCCTAGAAAATACAGTATGAGGGAAGTTGGCTGCTTCCTTTTGCCAACTTCTGATCAAATCCAGATGTGAGGGGGACTTCTGCCAAGGACGGCACAGGTGGACTCAAATGAAAAGCGACGCGGCTGGCGCTCAGCTGGCAAAGCGTCTCCTGGCTGAACACTGAGCACAACGCACAACGACGTTACCCAACTTTAAGGAAGGGAGCCAAAGTGTAAAGTAGGAAACCAAGTCTTATTGACTAAGAAAGCTGCGGCTATCAAACACTCAAACCATCTTAATGCGATGGGAACGCTTTGGGAGGGCTGTGTTTACGTGTCATTGAGAGGGCTATTTCCCAGGTCACACATGCATGAACACCCTGACCTCCTTCCCACTGCCCAGATGTTTCGGCCCGTCGGCCCGTCCTTTTCTTAGAAGTGGAATCACTGGGGAAATAGAGGAGGCGATTGCATGAGGGAATGTGTGCTCTGTCCTCTGGTTCCTCTGTCCTTTGCTGATTGGTTTTTTTTTGGGGGGGGGGGGGGGTTGCAGTCAACCCCTCCTTTATCGACGCCCGGGGGTGCGGGTACTGGGACCCATTTCTGAAGTGAGCCATCCTCACAAGGCACACTCTGTTCATAGAGTGTACACAGAGAGATCTCAATTGTTGGTTTAGCTGTGTGTCGTAGCTCACGGAATAAAGAAGCTAGAAAGTGAGCGAGAACCCCCCCCCCCCCCAAAAAAAAGGTGAAGAGGGGCCGTTATCTGCTGTCTTATCATCTGGGCGGTCCGAGGGAGCATTGTGGAAAACACTCAGGGTGATCAAAGACAGCCCCCACTGAGAGAGGGAGAGAGGGGTCATGAGGAAGACTTTCATGTGATCAGACACAAGCTCGCTGCCCCCCCCCTCCCCCCTACACCTTCCCTTACTGCCACCCTCCGACCAGCCAAGGAATACACAGGTGTATGTGTGTCTCGAAGGCAACCCACCCCCCCTCTGTGCGACCCCCCCCCCCGGTGGGATAATGCGCTGAGTACCAGCAGGGAGAGGGTTGAAGGGTATTTTGCTGGAGGGGAGAAGGGAAAAGGATAGAGCTGATCACGCAGCAGATATTGCCAGGAGGGTAAAGGTAGGAGGGACGGGGGGGGGGGGGGGGGGACAAAGGGGCAGGGAGGTGGTGGGGGGTATTCTGCAAGTGGCTGGGCTTGGTGCCTTCTCTTGTAAGCCATATTTCCTGGAGGAGAAATTCCTCGGAGGTTAGGAAATGCTGGGGAACAATGAGGCTCCGGTCAGTAGCCAAAGTTGAACTGTAAAGCAGAGATCGCTGCCGCTGATCCGTGGGAGCCGAACACAATGCACCTCGCGCATGCCTCAGCCTTAAGGTAGTGGAAAACGGCGTGGACCATTAGAGCAATTTGTCCCGGGACACAGGCTGAGCCTATTGTGCGACCGCGCTTTACCTCTCGTGGGAAAAAGTTTGCTGATTTCCTCTAGTTGCCTTTCGGGGGCGTCCGAATTGGACTTTCTGTGGATTGAAGCAGCACTTTTGGAAAGTGCACGCACTGAACTTCCTCAGTAGTCGGACAGTGAGGTGAAGCCTCTGGGGAATCTGCTTGAAATGTCTCAGGCCCTTCTTACGTAATGAACGATTATAGCCAGATATAGTGGCGGCGGTGGACACTGGTGTTTATCTTGGACAGCTACGAGCCAATAAAATGACAGCCATTCTCAGAGATTGTCTAAATGACTCTGGAACAGATCAGGACATAATGTAAACAGTCCTTTTAATGAGGCCTTTGCCTCTCTTGTGTTTGTTTTCTTCTTCACCGTGTCAATTGAAATACTTTACATAGTCTCTGGCATTGTTCGCTCTTGATGGGGAGACTTTGAAAGCCATTTGCTTGCATGATGAGCGCTTTGCAGGAAGAAAGCAAGACTCAATGGTTTTTCGTGACAAAAACTACGGATCATCAAGGGATGAAATTCAGGAATGAAAAGCGTGTCTACTTTCTTTTGAAATACGTTTGCGTACGATTATCCTTGTTGCATATGCTATCGCACACTTTATGTGGAGAGGTTACTGGTCAACAGACGTGTCAGCGCTCACTTTAAGTCAGTAATGTTTTTCCACCGAAAATGGCTGCAGTAACGTTGGGGAATCAAGCTAAATGGAGAAAGCAGCTGCTAAAAAAAGGATTATTTTCTGGCTCATGGAAAGCCAGGTGTGAGCGTGTATTTATATATAGAGGTTCCACATCTCCCCCTCGGCTTTAGATGTGTTCACCTCTTGGCCGGGACGGTTAGGACGGTCCTGAAGGAAGCCAAGGTCGAAAGGGTCCCGACGAGACGGACTACTGATGACCCCAGAGGTCGCGACCCCTTGTTCCGATCCCCATCCTGTCTCTTAATCGGCAGGCTGCATGCCAATCTCAAGCTCCCTCCGGTGTTCTGATGGAAACAGGAACAGATGATGCTGATGGTCAGTGTGTCCTGATTTGATAAAAACACACAAACGAAAATATTTGAAGCAAAAGCTGTTCAGTAACAGGATGTAAATAGAGGCTTGTTGTATTCATGTTGGAAGCTGAAACAAGCTATTGTATTGTTGTTTTGTTTTTAATAAATACAAAATGAACTGAAGATGAGATGAATTGAAACTGTAAATATTTACCATGTTGTATTAAACACAACAAAACGCTTGTTTGTTCATGTTCCCGTGGGGCAGAAGCCACACACACTGGGAGATTCTGGGTTGAAGAGGACAGTTGTATAAGTCCCCTTGTTCAGATCCTGCGAGCAGTATAAATATCTTGTGTGCTCACATGATGCTGGTGTGTCTGGATCGGGTGCTTTTGAGGCTGAGGGTTTTGAGTCCGCCTCGGGTCACTTATGGTTGCTTATTATTCTGACTCCACGACGGGCTGCAATTATTCTTATTATTCACGCAAGCTGATATTTTCCACTCTGATTTCTGCTCTTTTTTTCCCTTAATCACTTTCTTTATTCATTTCGATCGCCTCATCGTCCTGCTGCCCTTTCATACACCTTAAATCTCTCTTCATGGTGCTCTTCCGAGCTTGTTTTTCTCCACTTTGTCCCAGGTTGAGCTGCGGCTGTACATGGTTCATCCATTATTTGTGATAATGTGTTGATCCTTTTCGTACTTTACTTTCTACGTGACGGTTTCTTATGATCCCTATGAGCATTTACTCATCACCGGCCGCGTCCATTAATCCCTAAACCTTAAATATTACATTTCTGTTTAAATTTAGCCTCTAGACACAACTTTGAACTGTTTGTGTGTATTTGGTTGCAAAAAAGAAAAAATAATGAATTGGCAGCAGAGTCAGAGGTGAGATTGTTTTTCCTTGACTCTTTCAAATTGAATTGAGCCAGTCTGTTTTTTCTGCTGTCTGTCCCCAGTGTGAGGCCCCCGAACAGACGATGTGGCTTACTTGCATTTCAATTTCACACCACAGCCATTAGAGAAGTGACCTGCCTGACTCTCAACTGTAAACGCACACTCTCTCTCGCTCTGTTTGGTCATAACTGCGTATTTATTCTGTGACCTTTGTAACATTTGATGTGCTACAACAGGCGACTCTTTGTGTGCACACAGCTGTTCAGCAACCACATACTCAAGAAGCATTTGACTTTAACCTGCCTGATGGATGAAATTGGAGATTAGATCAGCGGCAGCGGAACCTCCTCCTGCTGAGAGTTGTGCTTCAACCTTGAGTCCCGTATCGATGAAAAACACTGTTGTTATTATACATTAACAATTCTACTCTGGGAGCCGCTGAGGTTTGCATGGCTTTCAATATTTGATACCATACATCTGGCAATGTCCCATCTATATAGCATTGACATGCATTGCATTGACTACATTGTGCCAGGCGGTAGAATTACTAGAAATGTGGAATAATGTGATGTCAAGTGAGAGGCACGATTGGGAAATTGAATGTGATTGGAGCTAAAGGGTTCGTTGCTGCAAATGTTCTTGACCGGTCTGGAGGGACAACTAAATCATTTAGTGTGGCCCAAATGTTCACTGACAGCGGAGTTTGCAAACACACTTTTTTACGACGGGAAACATCCCTGCAGTGCTGCTTTTGTTTGGACTGCATTTCACCGTAACTCATTTGGCTCTTTTTGTTCCCAACATTTTGGGAAATACACCTATTCACTGTCTTGCAAGCGAGTGGAGAGGAGACGACTGTAAAACACACTCAGTAAATACGAGGGTATGCCACAGAATGGATAGCTTAGCTTAGCTTGGCAGCTAGAAACTCACTGTTAGTTCATTTACACCCCATTTCTGCTGTAAAAAATCAGTCCTGCAAAAAGGTTGATTGCACCACAGCGCCTGCTTGCACTTGCTTTTGTCTCAGAGGCCATTTTTCAACAGGATTTCCTTCCTTCCTGCCCCTCCCCGTCTTTACATTGTGCTGCGCGTTTCCTGCTCCAGCACGCACGCACGCACACACACACACACACACACACACACACACACACACACACGCATACACACTCGCGCACTTCCCCCGGCCGTCTGCGGCGGGCGGGGGGAAGGAGAGTTTTGCCTCGGATGCTCGCTTGGCAGACGGGACGCCTCCATGGCGTATAGGAGATAGGCAGAGAGGCTGCGGATTTGGCTTCGTGGGGGGTGGGGGGGGCGGAGGAGGTGGTGCCCTCCTGCTGCCGGAGAGGAGAAGGCGGCCTTTGATTTGGCCTGTGCCAGCTGTCCTGGTCACATGGTGCTTACGTGCAACAAGGCAACAAAGTAGCACGAGTGGCGCGACCGCGGGTTGACGCTTGTCAGGGCGATCGTGGTGCTGAAGGGTCATCGCCACAAGGGGGGCTGTGTTTTAGCTGGCGCGCTGCACTTTCTCGGATCAGTATGCGGCGTCTGCTCAGCGACCTCCTCTGCAGGAAAGGAGAAAAGAAAACAACGTGTTTACAAATGAATGCAACGCTAGTCGGATTAAGGTTATATTGTTTGTAAAAGAGTTTAACAAACCATGTGGTTACTATTACGAGCTTGAGCAGCTGTCTCTTAAACAACATTGATGAACTTTCCCCAGAATGTGTTTAGAAAAGTAACCATGTTCCCCCTCTGTGGTTCAAACTCACACTTTCCATGACATTCAGCATTTCTGGGCTCTGAGTCCGTAAACACCCACAGCGGCCCAGCCAGACCTGATGGGAAATTACACGTCACTAAATGATTTAACCAAGCTCTTGAAATTGGATTTGCTCTAAAAGTTGGACAAGTGTCTCTGTGCCTGAAAGCATGCCATAGACATCCTTCACGTCCCTCTGTCTTTCTTTGTCTTTGCCATTTAATTTCAGGCCCGACATGAAACAAGTTGTCCCCGGACAGAGAATAATCTGTTCCACTTGTAAGCCTTAAAGTGGCCTCTAACATTCGATCTAATCTAAAAGTCCAAACATGTGTACAGTAAATATAGTTTCATATATAAAAGGATGACTCGATCACTGTAAAATAGCCTTGAAAGTGAGGAGTAAAGTCTTGGGCGTCCTACATCAGGCCCAAATAGAATCGTATGTGCCTTTTTAAACCATATTTAAAGCGTCCCCCACATCATGGGCTTTGTGAGGAAAGTATGACATTTGGACTGTTTGCTGGGTAGAAACCAAAAGATCTCCCTAATCCGTGGCGCCCACCGGGAGTCAGGCGGAGGCATCGGACACAGACATGTTCATTAGATGAAATGCTTCGGGGACAGTGGAAAGGAGGAGAATGACATGGAAGAGAAGGACTTTTCTACACTCCCAAGCGGTATTGAACTCCCGGAGATGCCTCGAAGCAAATAGTTGCTCTGCACTTTTCCTTTACGAGCCTTTTTTTCCCCCCATGAAATAAACAACCTGTGGACCGTGTGTTTTCTTCATTCGTCAACATTTGAATTTATCTCTGACAGTCCCGCCGTGCTTTTAAAAAACGAAAGGCTTCGAGGGAAACAAACGAGCATTTGTTTCCCTCGAAGCAACCTGTGAAATGAATTTTCTCTCTCTGTTGTTGATTAAAACCAGAAATCCTGTGCAGATGCGCCCTAATAGCTACTCCCAAGATAGACAAATTAACATTCCCCGCTACATTAAGAGCGTCTGTTTCCTGTATCGTGTATTCCTGCATACGTTCCCAGTGGAGAAAAACGTCCAGGACGACTTGCTTTAGGTGTCTTCGGGACGTGTAGAAGACGAGAGGGATCTGCTATGGGAGCGAATCACCACAAAGAGCCTTTTCTCTCTTTTCGGATGTTCCCCTGTGTCCTCTCAGCATCGGAGACCGGCTCTGTCTCTGGTTAGGACTTTTTTTGGCAAGAATTCAGTTTTTTTCTTGCCAGGAAATTTGTCTCTGTGGCCGGGAGATTTAACCCTGTGTGGTTGAACTCTGGTTTAAAAGCAGTTCATCGCTGCAAGAAGAAGGCCAAACAAGGCTCTCTTTTGTCCTTCCCACTGTACTCCCTTCTCTCTCGCTCTCTGTTTTTATGGCTACACACACACACACACACACACACCTGATGGGGAGACTCAGGTGTTTCCAGAGCTTCGCCCGAAGGTGCCGAGCTGCTAACCTGCTGTCCTTTAACTGTTATCCCCGCAGTGTATCATCCCAGGGGACGGAGGTGTGACGGAGAGACACACATGGACCCAAAGAGACGTTAATGAGCATACCTTCACAGTCTGGTGGTTTACCACAGTGGGCTTTTTGTGCGGGGAGCCGTTGTTTGTGTCTCCGTGTCTGGGGGTCGAGTGGTCACCGTTGTCTCATTTCATTTTGTAACTTCTCAACAAGAGAGGATGTTGTAGTGTGTGTTGTTGTATTCATATTCTTGTAATCTTTTCCAGACTACTATGTTTTAATCACAGTGGAGTTAACAGGATGTGTCTGTGTGTGTGTGTGTGTGTGTGTGTGTGCGTCCGCTCGCCAGCCCTCCAATAGGGACAACAAAGCCCATCGGTGAATCATCACAAGACAAAAGAGGACCGTTTGTCCAATACACTCGGAGACGGGCCTATTCATTCTTCCACAGTATACTGGTGACCAGCGCCAATGAACTCCGATCGGAGCCATTTCAGTTGTCAGCATTTGAACTGTGGTAGCGGAAGAAGTAAACCTGTTTGACTCTCTTTTAGCAGCTTCGGTGCTTTTAATTTCAAGGAGAGCCTTGTGTTAGAAGGACCCCGGGGACCTCTGCATGTAATACATCAAACTGGCCCCTCGTTCCTGCCCACTCCGCCAATAGCTTTAACTCGAATGCATTAGCAGATGTTCGGGGCTGGTTCTGTACTCGATTCAGACTAATTCCTCTAGCATGGGAGCAGCTAGATAGTTTTACTTCTTCTTTTTTTTTTTCGTATGAAAGCAATTCGCTGCATCATTCCGCTCTTTCGGGTCTGTTTAGTGCTCTTGTCCTCTCCGGGATTGGATTTGTATTCCCATCACAGCCCACTCTGCTGGCTGCGTAAGGGCATGAATGACATGCTTTTTCTCCCCCCAGCACTCTCTTCATTCTCTCTTCCACTCAGTTCGCATTCACCCGAGTCGTTTCTGTTTGACCCGAGCGCATGCTCAGGTTTGCCAACTATGCCGCGCACACAATTCATTTTAAAGCGCAAGAATGTCCATCATTGTCTCGCCTGTCGTGTGTCAAGGAAGCCCCTGAGCTGTTTTTTTTTTTTTGCCAAACTCTTCTGTTGCGAATGACATGTTTTCATTGACGCAGATCAACATGTGCAGTTGGAGTGGAATGGCCCGGCCTTCCGCCGATTGTATCCTCCCGAATCTGGTGGAGGGGAATGCGTAATGTCCATTCACAAAGTGGCCTAAATCGAGTTGGCTCAGCGCACCATCCGTCGCTACGGAAACATCCCTCCTGCAAAGTCTGTCAACCCCCCCCCCTCAATTTCCTTCCCTCTAAGACACTTCAACCGAGGTGTAAATTCCCACCAGCGCGAGCGAAAAGCGCAGGTTTTTCGGGTGGGCCACGGTCGTCGAGCGAGCTGTCACTCAAAGATCGAGGCCGTAAGTAGGCGAACCGGATGTCGGCGACGGTGTGAAAGTCCGGCTCGCGTCCACCACGGGCTCACGTGAGCTGCGTGCGTTGATTAATGGCAGGTAGGACCAATCCATTCATAGCACCCGTCTGTGGAGTAATGAAAACTTAAATGGGGTTTTAATGTGTGATCCCCCCCCTCAGCCATCGGATTGACATTCCAGGCGATTACATCCGCAGCCCGAAGGAACAAAATGACTTTCTGACCAAGAGTTATTTTAATTTCCCTTGTTGAATGCGGTGGATGCATTATAAAGGACAGAAACTGCACATGTGTAAAGGAAAATGACTGATGCGTTGCCACTCACAATCAGTGATGTGGGTGTGTGTGACCGTCGTGGCGTGTTCGTTAGGCTGAGTAGACGGTGGATGAAAAGAACAGTGCAATAAAATCCCTGCCGGTCGTCCAACTCTTTTATCTGCTTTTGTACCATGACTTTGTCGTTTGGGGGTTTCTGCTCCGATCGCAATGTCTGGACGGGGAAAGCGTGACTTGGATCCCTTTGAGCTTGATATGAAGTGTGCTGTGAAGTCTGCTGGTGACTCAGCGCTGGCCGGATTACTGCTGGAAAGTACATTCAGTCCCAGGTAACAAAATGTGTCCCGCGGAAAAATCTTTTGGTCATTACTGAGTATAAGGTCAAAGCGACTGTGGTGGACCAGATGTGAAATGTTCTTCAACAGTTCTTTAGCTTTGATTGGATTTCTAGTTAGTAATCTTTTTTTTTTTTGCAGAAGCAGTTGCTCTGTTTGGTGCAATGAAGACACGAAAGGTGGAAGTTCACCGAGTTACAAGCCTTTGGTAACTGAGCCGTGCCTTTTATGTAGTGCAGCTCAGTCCGGCACTATACAGACCTGCAAATGGGCTCATATTCACAGTCACCGTGGGCACTGTTACTGTGCCCATAAATCCCATCAGTCAGTCCCATCCTCTGTCCTCGGAGCTTTCCCAGGATCAGCCCCTTAACGGCATAAACCAGGCGGTCTCGGCTGTCCCCTCTGAAGAGACATGTCGGTTTCCACGTATCCAATCCAGTCTGAGCCGTCCACGATGGTGGGAACGACGCAGTGTCTCAAGTTGGATTAATCAAACTCTCATGCAGCTGGGTCTTTTTCTGTGTCGTACGCTCGCCTTGAAAACTACATAAAAAGGTGTTTTCAATTTCTCAACAGTCTTTATCCTGTGGCTGATAACACCATTAATTATCTCCACCCAATCAGATTCAGAGCTCCTGTCCTCCTTTATGACGTATCATTTTCCCTTGTGTGCCTTGCTTCTGATAAGCGTCTGCAGCGTGGCTCCTTGTGTTCTGCTGCAGAGCTCCCCCATGTCTGTAGAACCGCTGTATAATTTGTGCCTTGCAGATACAGTGATTATCTGCCATTCAATGGACTCTCCGTCATTAAAACTGAAGGCATAGACTCCCTAATGAGCGCATGTTTGATGTCACGCACCAACGACAGGAAACTGGTTTTCTATGCACATCAGCATCATCTGGAAGTTCCGTACCGTATAAGCGCCGCCATGACTGTCCAAGTCCGCCGCGTGTTTTGTACACACTGGACTTGCTAATCAGATGCTAATGCGCGTGAGTGGCGGAGCTGGGAAAGCAAAGCAGCTCCGGAATGGTAATCAGCCCGCAGTCGCTCCTTCAACAAAGAATCTGATTATTTGAGCTACTTTTCTCCACCCCCCAAACACAATCTCTGATTCAAACACTTCTACGGTTACTTTTGAAGTGCCGGTTGACGTCAATTCAGTGTGATTAAGATGATTTCAGTCGTTTCTTCGCGAAAGTGAGTTTTAGCGAGAAATGGAGATTTTCGCCACTGATTCAGAGCGACCGCATTTCCGTCTGCTTTGATCGCGGTGTCGAGAATCACTTCACCGGCTCGTCCGCTCATTAAATGAAGCTGTTCACACGCTCGGTGGTTGTATTACGTGAGCGCGCTCAGGTCAGGCTTTCCTGCCGCCTTGGCCGCACCGGTCGACAGATGGCATCACGGCCCTCGGTGGGGCGATGAGGTGTTCGGGTCAACTGCAAAGACCGACGTGACTCCTTACTGCAAACCGCTGCGGCGAGCATGCACAACGCTGCGCCACCAAATGAAGCT